AAGCCCAGTGACACTCCATTTATTTTCCATCACTCGAACACTGAAAAGTAAAAAGATATATGAAATCAGATCCATTAAATTCTAAGATTTGATTTACATTTCTAATTAAAGTTGTTTTTGATCATACGTATAGATAATTATATAAAAATTCCAAAATTCTAAAATTTCAAATACATACAAAAACAATCATATGTAAATTATAAATTTGTGAATATTAAAATTTTATATTTTAATTACATATATTCACCCTGCGCAAGGCGCAGGTCTTATCCTAGTAAAGAAGTAAAACAAAAGCTTCAAACTAATATTTGAATTCAGTGAACTAATTAAGATCATTGTAATTTCTTAAACTATTCTAACAACTTTTAAGTCGTGATTAACCAGAGATAACTGATAATGTTAATGGTTTGTTTATGTATTAATCAAAGTTATTTTATAAATGTCGTTTTAGTTATACTTTACTGAAAAAATGGTTATTTGTAAGCAAAACATATTCGTGGGATTAATGCTAGCAATTATGATAGTTTGAATAAGGATTGTAAGGGCATCTCAAACCAACAAAAAAAACAAAGTCTAAGGTTTATAAAATTATTTTTGCTATAATGTGAGCAGAGCCCTATATATAATCACAATTGCAGAGACAATATAGTTCAATGGGTTTGAATTTAATATAGAAGCCCATATAACTTTGATAGTGGAATATTACATTAGATGAATAATTAATAGAGCAGCCTCAATAACTCATAGTATAGAAGCCCAAATGAGTTTTTTTGAACTAAGCTTAGAAGCCCAAATAAGGTTTTTTTTAACAAAGCTTAGAAGCCTAAATAAGTTATTACGTGGATATGGTATTATGATTTCATTATGTTTTAAACTAGGTTAATTCCTCCTTAAATACTCGTAGAATTACGAGGTGATTGGTAGTTACCTCTGTCTACAGCCCTATTTATTTATACAGCTCTAAATTCAAAGCAATCAAATTTTAAATTTCTTTTTGAAACTACAACTTTTAAAATAACCTACAGCTATACGAGTACTCTGCAGAGTCAAATATACAAAACAAATTTTTAGTGCTTTTCGAAAAATCTACAGCAA